TTGCTAGAAAGCTCCCAAGAGTTGAATTCTTTTCATTTGTAATGTTAAATCAATTACGGAAATAGAGATCAAAGTAAATGCAATCCGAAGTTATGACTGGTGCAACAAGAAATTACAACACGACAAGAGATTACATGATACAGAGATTGAGTACGTTTTTCCATTAGGGAAGGATGTCCGGTTCAAGTTACAGTCACAATGAATTGAAGTAAATGGAAGCATTACGAGATCAAGTATCAAGGAAACTATGAGCTCGGTTCCCGTGACGGACCGGGAGCCGGAGTGTGTTCCTCCGATGAAGTCGAAACCATTTCCCTTCTGACAGGGCCAGTCAGTATCACAACCTCGTGATGATCCTTCATGAGGTGATTGTAGTATCCCCAATCGTTGAGGCTTTTGTAGGTCTTTTTGCAACCCTGATTGGCGTACTTGCAGGGGTCTTGAAAAGTAGTGAACAAAATTTGGGAATTATACATAATCAGCAAAAACCAAAGGAATGAAAGCCACAGAGGCACGAAGAAGTTGAGGACAGAGTGACATACATTTTTTGTCAGATGCTTTTTGCGTTCTTCCCCGTGGCCTTGCTCGCGGGGCTCCGTGATATATCCTGTTATGTCTTTTCCATGCTGCCTCAGTGCCAAATGATGTATTGTGGCCATCTTTCGTGCAGCGAACTGTCAATTCAAACCAAATTTTTATGTACTCATGAGCACTGTACAAAATCTTCTTTGGAAAGAAACAAAGCAAACTTACGCCTGTCTTCCGGGTTTAGCGGCGGTTTTTTGCGTCGGTCCACATTGAATTTTCTATCTGATTGGTACCCCTTGCTAGGGGACTCGTAAACTCTCTTCTTCCCCTTTTGCTTGGATATGTTTTGGACTGAAAAAAAACGACATCATATTTAGCTGCAATGCTTCTTCCACCCTGATACGATCTTCTGAGGCATCCTCATCTTTCATGAACTAAAGTAACAGGTATAACTAACTTTCTTCTGAGGCACTTTCAGTGCCCAATTGATCCACCTGCTGGCCATAAGGAATGCTGTTCGGGACCGAATCACCAAAATTGTAGCTTACTCCCATGGTCGGGGGAGTGTAGGGCTGGCTGCTGGGGCCGGCAACAGGAGCATTTGACAATTCTAATTGGTCGAAAGCCCGTCGGGGAGGTTCAGTTTGTTTCCTTCATAAACTAAAACAACGGGAATAACTAACCTGATCCCAAGAATCTATCAGTAAGAGTCCCATCTGGCTGCCAGCCATCTAGAATGCGATTATTCGTGACGGATTGATTGAAATTGAAATTCAACCCCATGGGCGGGGCAATGTAAGGCCAGCTGCTTGGGCCAGCAACCGGAACCGATGCCAATTCTGATTGACCGAAGGCCCACCGGGAAGGTTTAGTTTTGTCAACCTCTGGAAAGTTGGGCAGTGAAAATGGGGAGAGAGGCATACCAGTCTGATAGCTGGGAAAGGAATATAACGTCTCAACAAAAATTGCACCGGAAAGCAGTGGGCCATTCAATGTGGTATCAGAGCTGCCATTTGGAAAGGTCTGGGGTGGAATGGCTATGATTGGTTTTTCAACAGAATCGCGTCAGTTATGTCATTTCGGAGATCAAGCCAAAACTTTAGACTTACAGTTTGAGGGCACGGGGCAATTGAAACTATTGGAACCAAAGTCCAAACTGGGCATGAATGGAGGGACTGTGATGAAGATTTGAATGCCATGGTTGGATCAAAAAGAATGCATCGGCAATTAGGGCATTGTGAACTCACCATTAGTGTTTCTCCCGTGAGCCCAAAAAGCCCGAAGGTATGTCTGTTGCTGACCCCACAGGAATTTGAGTTGTCGTCGGGCTCGTCGGCACCAGGTTATTGGCGTCTTGAGGCAACGAGGTTGAAGGGAAAAAGCTGGGGTAACACTTGGTCACCGCAAGTTCGACCAGATCAGGTTCCATCCCGCTCAGAGTCATATGCTCCGCAAATTCAGCAATGGTGCGGCTTATTGGGTGGGTCGGCGGGTCTGGGTTGGAAGGAGATGTCATCTGATCTGCGATAGGCAAACCGGAGGAAAGTTTTCTTCTCAGTCGCGAAACTGATATCG